TGGGGGTATTTGGGGGGTATATGGGGGTATTTGGGGTTGGTATGGGGGGGTTCGTGGGGTTATCAGGGGTTCTGGAATCTGGACCCAAGATTTTATTTTATTGTTTTGTTTTTTTGGCGGGGTGACGACGACCCTCGACCAGTAGGTGCCGACCAGCCGACCGCTCGGCGGGTCGGCAGGCGACCAGTCAAGGGTCGCCGACGGTCGGGGTGTGCAACACCGGTGTGCGACATTTTTTATTTTACTTTTTGTCTGAGGCAAAAGTTGTCCAGAATAATCTTTTTCAGAATTTTCTGATAAGTTGATATATACCACACGACAACCGCACTCCCTTCACTCAATGCACAGGGCTTTGAGACACCTTCAACAACACTTCGCTATTGTTCCTGTTGACAAGACCTCACATAACTTGGCAATTGGTACCTGTCTCATCTATCTGCTCATTTGGACAGCCCTACCTATGCTGTGCCTCTTGACTCTGTCACAGATATAGTCGAACATCACGCGCTCTGGAATCATCGGTGGGGATATACACACAAAGACATGCTGCCATATTTGTACTATGCACTTAAAGCGCACAAATCGCCCCCTGGGCTTTGCAGTGTTGTCGGTGTCACAAAGAGGAATAATCTCTCCCTGCCGCAGCGATCTCGATAAACTGTGCCATCTGTTCATGCAGTCCACCATCGACCTCCCCACAAACCCTGGTCCAGTACTACCGTTGCTTCTGCCCGCCTCAGTGTTGCAGTACAAGGAGTCGTTGAAACTCTCCGTGAAAAGGATAATCTGTTGTATCAGCAAAGCGGTGTGAGACGGTGCTGGATCGTGCAAAGCACTGAGGAGGTGATGCTTGATCTCAAACGTAATTCATCTTCTCTTCGTGACCATGCCCCACGCACTGTTGATTTCACAACTATGTATACCAATCTTCCTCATGACCGTATTTGTCGTAATATATCAAAAGTGGTTGAGGAAGCCTATACATATGCCTTACAACAGCACAGGAGCGCACACATCCTCGTACCCTTAACATGATTGTTAAACGGGCCGGTCAAGGGGAGTGGGCGGTTGATATCGGACTGAACACCTTGACTGTTTCCCAAATTCTTGAACATCTCCATTTGATTGTCACAAACATTTATCTTTATGCAGCGGACGGAACCTTGTGACATCAGCTGATTGGCATCCCGATGGGGACTAATTCTGGTCCTGAGATAGCTAATTTGACATTGTATTGGGATGAGGCTCGATTTGTTGACAACCTCCTGCGGCGTGACTGGTATGCGTTCACATACCACTTGATCGATGATGTTCTCTCATGGGGACATCTGCCACCACCGTCAGAGCACTATCGCCTCGAATGGAAGGAGACCACAGCGCCTGATGGCTCTCGCACATTCTTGGGTGCACGCCTCCAAGTCTGCCCTGATGGTTCCCTGTGTACGTCTAATGCCCCCGCACCGCGGGAGTGTTTACAGGCCAGCTTACTAGGTTTGAGTATGTCTGCAATAACTGGTATGATTTCAAAACTGCAGCAGCGATGCTCACATGCCGCATGCTTTTTTGCGGGCATTCTCCAACATTGTGAAAGGATGGACTTCCTATATTTGTAAACGTCAACACAGGTACCTTGTGCACGTGACTCGCGTCTCCAGCTGGTTCCACAGCATGCTTCGATGGTCTATTCACCACCCGCTTTCTCGGGTATCCAGACATTGTCCTTGGACTACGCCTGTCACAACCCCTTCTTCCTTACCGGCGCCTGTCACACCTATCACAGCCGGTTCTTTATTACCTGCGTCTGTCGCACCTGTGTTCTCATCAGTCTTAGTAACCCCTTCCATGCCGTTTGTGACCCTGGCTGCCCCTTTTCGGTTCGCAGCCTCTTCCTCATCGGCCTTGGTTGCTTCTACGATTGATTCTGCGGGAGCAACTCGAACCGGAAGTGCTGTGTCACCCTTGGTCTCGGTGTGTTCCTCCATGCCATCTGTGGCCACCTCAGCTGCTGTGTTGCCCTTCGTCTCGGTGTGCTCCTCCATGGCATCCGTGGCCACCGCAGCTGTTGTGCCGCCCTTGGTCTCGGTGTGTTCCTCGATGGCATCCGTGGCCATGCCTGCATTACCACTTGCAGAGTCCCCTCTTCAAGTCTCACCTACAACTGCCCCCCCTATCTCTGCTTCAGCCACTTCACCACCCCTGACTTCACCACCCCTGACTTCATCACCCCTGACTTCATCACCCCTGACTTCATCCCGCACGTCTTCACCGGCCTTATTTCCCCTGGTTTTATCTCCGTCTGTTACCCACCTTTCGGACTACTCTACCACCTGTCTTCACCACTCCTACCTCTTCTAGTTTTGTCTCCATCCGTTACCCCTCTTCCTAATCCACAAACCACTTCGTCCACACAGGCTCCGTCATCATGTTCTGCCCCTGCAGAAAGCCTACTTTGCCATCCTAGCACATGTTCTCTTTGTCCCCAAGAAAGAGGGAGAGCTTAGAATGTGTATAGGCTATAGGGGTCTGAATGCTATCAGAGTGAAGAATGCAGAACCACTGCCCCGTATAGGCGATTTGTTAGACTGGGTGCAGGGCTGCAAGTATTTTTCGAAGATAGATTTAGAGTCCGACTATCATCATATAGAGGTCCATCCTGATGATCAATACAAAACAGCATTCCGGACTAGATATGGGCACTATGAATTCATAGTTATGCCCTTTGGACTAACCAATTCGCCAACGACTTTCCAGCGCTGCATGAACGATTTGTTTAGGCCATGGTTAGATAGATTTGTAGTTGTGTATCTAGATGATATTCTCATGTTTAGCAAGACCCTCCAGGAGCACGAGGGTCATTTGAGGCAGGTCTTGGAGAAGCTTAGAGAAACTAACTTCAAGATCAACGCAAAGAAGTGAAGAATGGGCCAAGACGCAAGTGTTGTACTTGGGCCACGTCTTAGACGGAGACGGCGTTAGACCCGAAGATAGTAAGATTGCAGCGATCAGAGATTGGCCAACGGCCCGCGCACTGATAGAGTTGCGGTCGTTCTTAGACCTAGCTAACTATTACAGGAAGTTTGTGAGAAACTTCTCCACGATCGTTGCACCCCTTTGCAGGTTGCTGAAGAAAGAGGCAATTTGGAAGTGGGATAAGGACTGTACAACTGCCCTGAAAAGATTGAAGCGGGCCCTGATGGAATGCCCAGTCCTTAAGGTAGCCGATCCGTCCCTGCCTTTCGTTGTTACCACTGACGCAAGCCAGTACGGCATAGGTGGTGTTCTACAGCAAGACGATGGCAATGGATATAGGCCCGTAGAGTTCATGTCTGCCAGGATGCCTTCAGAGAAGGTAGTGACATCTATGAGATGGAACTCTACGCTCTCAGGCAAACACTAGAGCACTGGAAACATTACTTGCTTGGGAGGCACTTCAAAGTCTATTCAGACCGTGAGACACCAATGTGGCTGAAGACACAGGCCAAGATGACACCTAAGATGACACCTAAGCTTACTAGGTGGGCCGCAGAGTTAGACCAGTATGACTTTGAACTGAAGCCAATTAAAGGGAAGTACAATGTAGTAGCAGACGCTCGGAGTAGAAGAGCTGATTACTTTGGGGCAATAGTTCACTACCTGGATATAGGGAGAGACCTGCAACAGAAAGTTAAAGAGGCCTATGCACAGGACCCTATCTATAGTGATCTCCTCAAGAGAGTTAGGGAGGCCCCCGAGTCTGAGCCCAACTACCGCACCACTGATGGCTTATTATTCGAGAAGACTAATGTCGTTGACCGTCTGTGCATTCCCAACAGTGAAGGGATCCGTAGTTTGATCCTAGGGGAATGCCATGATACAGAGGGACACTTTGGTTGGCAAAAGACACTAGCCAACCTCATGCGCACGTACATTTGGCCTGATATGAAGGCCGACTGCATAGAGTATGTCCGCAGTTGTAAAGTCTGTCAACGGAACAAGACTACTACGCGAGCCCCTCTTAGACCCCTGCCTATTCTTGATAGACCCGGAGATTCTGTGTCCATCGACTTTATGGATACTCGGGTCAAGAGTAGGCATGGCAAAAGTCAAGTCATGGTCATAGTAGATAGATTTAGCAAGTATGCAGTTTTTGTTCCTTTGCCTGCAGAGGCACGCACAGACTTAGTAGTTCAAAAGTTTTTTGACCATTGGGTCAGTGAGCATGGTATACCGCTGTCAATAGTTAGTGACAGGGATACCCGATTCACTAGTCAGAACTGGCAGGAGCTGATGAACGTTTATGGCTCAAAGTTGCTGATGTCATCTGGTCGTCATCCTGAGACTAACGGCCAGACTGAACAGATGAACAAGCTACTGCAGCAAGTTCTTAGAATGTATATTAGGCCCGACCAGATCAACTGGGATGAGATGCTCCCAAAGGTAGCCAGTGTCTACAACAATAGCGTGCACTTATCTACGTGTCACACTCCCAACGAGTTGCGCAAGTCCTTTAGACCGCGCAGACCATTTGAAGGACTTAACCGGGATCAGATTCAGAGGCTACCGCCCGGTGCAAGAGAGTTTGCGATACAGCACGAGAAAGAAATAGCTACCGTTGTCGACAACCTCAGGAAAGCCCAGCACAGAATGATAGAGCAAGCTAACAAGCACCGTCGCCCCTCACAGTTTCAAGTAGGTGACTTAGTCTGTGTCAAGTCAAAACAGTTTGCCCCTGAGGAAAACATCTCACAAAAGTTGCTGCTTGCGTATAGAGGACCGTGGCCAGTCCTAGAAGTCAAGGGCGGAGAGGATGGACCATCCTATACTATTGAGATTCCAGCACATCTCCACACCTACCCGGTGTTCCATGCATCAAAGCTGTTGCCTTGCGTTACAAGTCAACAATTTCCATCGTGCAGATCTATGATTCCCCCAGATATGGATGGAAGATATGACATTGAGGGGATAGTAGGTGAAGATGTCTTCAGGACAGGAGGTAGAGGTCGTCCCCAGAAGCAATACAAAGTCAGATTTCCTTATCAAGAACCAGAAGACGACCGCTGGTTCACGCGAACAGAACTTCTATAGACAGCTCCCAATATAGTCCGAGCTTACGAAAGAGATAAGAAGGGTAAAGGTCCTGCCTTAGACTGAAGTATTCTCGGAGGACCTCGAATTTAGGCTGGCAGGAGTGAAGCGGTTTTCACCTTTCTGCAGTCACAGATGTGGGCCCCAGAGTTCGATTCCCAGACCTCCCTTTGTCAGTGTACAGTATCGAGTAGACACCCGAGTGTTTGAACCCGTGACCTGTGTTTTGGTAGTTGTTTGTCGTTTGTCGTAGGTCCGTGTAGTGGTAGGGGTTCGATCTGTAGGTCTGTCAGTTAGGAGTCACAGCTCTGTAGAGGTTGTAGCTGTAGGTATTCTGAAGGGTCAAGGTCGTAGCTGCTACAGTATCCGAAAGGCCAAGTGCACAGACTTCTGGAAGGTCCCAAAGTGGCCCTTTCGAAGTGTCTCATGTTTAGTCAGAGGCAAGTGGGCAAGTGGTGAGCCAACTGCGTTACACCGGCAGTGCGACTGCATCGAGTTGGCAGTGCAAACTCATGCAGTCAGCGGTACCGGTCCAGTCAGTCCCAGTCAAGTCCAGCAAGTACCATGAGGGACTGTGTGCACCATGGGCCGATGGAAAGGGGCAGACCAACGAGTTACAGAAGTATAAATCAAGAGGCAGCGCTCAGCCATTCATTCATTCACTGCATAAGCCATGCGGAAGCGCTGCTACAGCGTCTTGTGCGAAGGTGGTCTCCAGGTTGCCCAAAGACGAAGTGGGCTGAAGAAAGATTGTAGCCATAGCTAGTAGCGGTAGTGCTGCCATAGCCGCTGTAGGAGGAAGATAGAGTGTATGTGCGTGGTGGTATTCAGGGTGATCCAGAGTGAGTGAGTGTGAACAGGGGGGGTTGGACACAGTGATGAAAGGTTGGGATGTTCAAGCGCTGATGCGCCATAGCTTGTTGAAGAGAACTTCCATCTGAACTGTGTTCTTGATTTCCATATCTCTAAGCTTTGAGTGGGCGCCCTGCGCCAGTGTGAGTCTCCATCTGTTTGCATGTGTGCGAAGCGGGAAGAAAGTGAGTCTGATTGCAGGGATCTTTCCAAAACCAGAAATAGGATCGGGGAGGAGATTGGGGAGAACTTGCTTTTTTGGAAAAGTTTTTTCTTCTTTTTTTTATAGTTTAACTAAGTTTTTTTAAGACTGTTCAGTGTTGGTTGTGAGTCTCGTGACTTCGTCGTCTCTGGGAGCTTTCCAAAGCCAAAAATAGGAAACGGGGGGTGGCGGGGGGGCGGGTAGGGTGAGGCTGATTAGCGGCACCCTTCGACGAGCCTTCGTTGTTCTGAAGTGAACCATACCGCGAACTGTGTTCGCCCGAATACAACCAACTACCGTCATTATTGCTGTATTAGAGGCAACTTCCTGTTCAGATGCAGCAAGAATAATGCCCGACTGTACAATGCATTCATTGTATTTGGTTTAAGACAGTAGTGCTTGTCAATGTGTGTTGTGCTATAGCGCTCCTTATTTGAGAGGTTTGTTTTGTTTTGTCAGTCTGAAAGCTTACTCGTACTAATTGCAATTCGGACTATTGGACAGCAGCACAGCGGTCTGACCCCTCACTCTGCTGTGAATTTTTTTTTCTTTATTAAAAGCAGTAAGAACCCCTCGTTACGATTCTGCATTTCTTGATTTCTTTTTTTTTCTGTTTTTTTTTTTTTTTATGGTGGTGGTGCAGTGGCCTTTCGTGGTTGGTGGAATGATTTGTCTGGTTAATTCCGAGCAAAAAGGATTGCGGGAATCTGTGTTTTATATTCCTCAATTTACTCTTTACAATAGTCCTGTAATAAGATGCACAACCGGACTGACGCCCCCCCCCCCACCAAGAATAGAAGGGGCTTGAGATGATGTTAAACGAAAGAACAAACAAAGTTACTTTTCTTAGACCTTCAATGCAAACGGGCGCTTGGCTGTTTTATAGCCCTCTCTGTAAGAGAGTTCATGCTCTTCGGAGTCCGTGTATCACCAAGTGGAGGTGATTGCACGCGAGAACAAACCTGTTCGATAGTGGAGGTAGTCGGAGGGACGTGTGAATGCCCATCTCTGCCTATATTAGGGCATATACTCATTCTCCTGCTGTGTCTTGGATGTATTCGACCTTGTTACCTAGGCTCACTCTGAAAGTTCTAGTCTGACTATGGCGTTAGTCTCTCACTACATTCGCTCCTTCCATAGTAGTCCTAAGCTCCTGCTACTTACCGTTTGGTCTTGATCCTCTCTTCAACAATCTGGGCAGTTGGCCCACAGAAAAAAAAGTACCTCCATCCTTTTTTTTCGCACTTTGTCTTTTTAACCGTCTGCTTTCTCGGCTTTTTATTTCCAAACGTCATCCTCGACTTAGTGTGCGAAAACAATAAGAAATCAGTTCAAGTAGTATTGGAAGAAAGTAGCAGAAGAAAAAACAAGGGGGGGGAAGAGAGGCAGAGAGAGAGAGAGAGAGAGAGAGAGAGAGAGAGAGAGAGAGAGAGAGAGAGAGAGAGGTTGCATACGTCAGTTGCCTCGCCCGTCATATTATTTTTTGAGAGTGAAGCCACAACAGGTCATCTAGTACCTATAATGATGATGATGATGATAATGATGGCGACAATGACAGTTGTGATGGCAATGACAATGTGTGATGATGAGAGTCCTTTGTGGCCCTGAAGATGTAATGATTTGTGACATTGAATCATTCTCTGCGGAGCACTTACATTTAATGTCTGTACTCTGGGTGGGTGTTGCCGGTGGTGTTTGTCGATGTTTGTGATCGGGTCGATGTGGTGATTTGCAGGCAAGACCATTCCTGAATGATCGGGACATCGACTTTGTAGTCGACCCAAGGCTGAATGCAGAGCATCTGGATCTGAACTCTTTGTGGGAAGTTGCCGATTGTGCCATGCTTTGCTGCGAGCCGCATGGATGCAATCGGCCCAGGATTGGCGACGTGGCAAGGTGTCTTGAGCGTGCTTCCGAGTTCCATGTCGAAGCGCTGCGCGCATCACAACAAAGAGGCAGGTAGCCATAGGTTGTGCTCTTGCAGTTGGATGCAAACCTTTTATGCACTGCTACTACCTACATCCTGGTTTACCTTGTGCAAAAAAATCGAGTTGTTTTTGGATGGGTGTTACTCGTGTTGCCACTTGGGTCTGTTTGATGGGTTATGGATGTTAGATACTCGTCTCAAGGGTGCTGGAGATGTGATAGAGAAGAGGGTACATAAGAATCTGTTCGCTGCTACAGGAGGGCTGAGCCACTTACCTTCCATATCCATGTATTTTGTACAGACTTTAGTCACTCTACATATTAATCGACTTGCTAAGCGGCAAGCAAAAAGTGTGGATGAAGACGACGATCAAACTCGTGGGATGGGATGTATCCCCCATTCCTGGAAATAGAGATCAGGAAAGGTCGCCGTATGTCCTACGCTTAGTAGGATTGAGAAAATAGCAGTTAGTTGGTCAGATATCATCGTGCATTGACGGTGAAGGGTTGTAGTTTGAGTCGTGTCAATAGGGTTGCGTTGTTCCCTGAGGCGTGAGCCGGAGGGCATCTCTGCAGATTGATTGGTTGATTGATTGCTTGATTGATTGGTTGATTGATTGGTTGACGGTGAAGGGTTGTAGTTTGAGTTGTGTCAGTAGGGTTCCGTTGTTCCCTGAGGCGTGAGCCGGAGGGTATCTCTGCAGATTGATTGGTTGATTGATTGGTTGATTGATTGGTTAGGGGCACATGCCTCAGTGGCCAGTGACTTGTGTTGATTGTTGGTAGGTTAGCGTTTCTGAGATAGGGGTGAGGTTTTCGCTGAGATAGAGACTGAGTACCGATCAGTAACTTCAAAGTGGCTGCAGACCAGGGGCGCATGCCATTGGGGTAGGGGGATTCAGGGAGTATATCGACGACTAGCTTGGGCCACGGTGGCCAAGGATGTGGTGTTGGTGGCTGGAGGTTCAGGGTTTTTATCAGTATGAGTGGGGATTTCCCAGAGGTAGAGCCTCTCTGAGTGATGCTCAGGGACTGCAGGTTGGCCGCAGACTTGGGGCGCATGCCATTGGGGTAGAGAATGAGACAATGTATCGATGACTAGCCTAGGCCAGTGAGGTGTGTCGATGGTTGGCAGTTTGGGTGTTTTCTCGATAGGAGTGGAGCTTTCCCTGAGGATGATCCAGCACTATCAGGTAGATAAAAGACTAGGGGGCACGTGTCATCAGGGTAGCGCAGGGTATCAGTGATTTGCTATCGATGATTAGCCTGGGCATTGGGGGTTGTATTCAACAGCTGCTAGCCGTCCCTAGATGTAATAGCTCCCTTGATTTGCCTAGATGAATCGATTGCAGATCTAGGAGTATCTATGCTATAAGGACAGTTATATGTGATGCTAGGCACGAACACGCAGTTTACTGGCAGTGATGACGCATGGCTGCCACTTTCTGATGGATCTGCTTCCAAGTGTGTGGAAAGGGAGGAAGGTTATATGTGATCATCATGCTCATCTCTCTGGGTCTCTTTTCCAGATCTGTTTAATACCATGGCTGCCTTTTTCTGATGGATCTGCTTTCAAGTGTGTGGAAATTGCCAAGGTAGATTGGAAACAGGGTGGAGAGTATATATGCTGTTTGGGAGAAAATCCCTCTACTGGAGTCGAAGACAGCTCATAGAGTTGTGGGCATGTGCGAATAAAGGCCTGGCTCCGCTATTCCACTAGAACATGGAAAGATACGCTGCCATGTTCTTTGTCTTTTGTGCATGAGGTAAGCAGTGGATCGAGGCCCTAAGGAGAATCGGGAGGCAGAGAGGTTGCACGGAAACAATTTTGCACCTGAAGATTGGGAGAACGTTGATATCCGGTATGTAATTCGTATGCCGGTGCGTTGTGTGTGTGTTAAGGTCACTTGCTTATGCTCACATTTAATATCCTACTCAATTCAGGACACATGACACGGATGCCTCCTTGTTATCGTACAGATGTTTCGACTTCCGTAAGTGGAAGAGAACGTTTCAGCTGTTCATATATATATACAATCGCCCTTTCATTTGTTCTCTTGCTTCATATCATTACACCATGTATAGGGAGAATAGGAGAGCGCTATCTCATTGTCCTCTTCATGGTCAGCCTCAGAGAGGAAGAAGGACAGATAGGAGCCCTGCAGATAAGCCTTTCGAGTGGGCGCCGGGTCCCCTTTGGCCGCAGCAGGTCTGTGTACGTGGTACACGCTTTGTGGCCTCTGGTCTGTGTAACTTGTCCGCTTTCGACTGACTGTACCCAAGCCACAGGTTTGCTGTACTTAGTCTTTATTTGTCAGGGCGGTCGGTCAGATTTGAACCTGGGCATGGAAGGTTGCTCTGTCTTCTGTCGATTGTTGTTTTCTTAACCTGTCTTTTGCGGCTTCTTTTTTCCCCCCCCTTTGTTCCGTCCACACCTTTGTTCTCGTTTTTTTTTTGTTTTTTTTTTGTTTTTTTTCTTTTCTTTTCTTTTACCCTGTTTGCTCAAGGTATTTGATGTGAGGTGAGTTGAATTGAGTTTGTCCATGGCAGCGAGAACAAAGAAGCTGAAACCCTGCTCTCTATCTGAGGCAGATTGTTTACGTTCTTTCGTCAGTGGCAGTGAGAAGTGTTTCAACACTGTTGAAGGGTCTGGACTAGTGCGTAGTGTGCATTGGACCCTTTTTTTCTACCTTTTTTTTTTTCCTTATCATGTGATGCGAGTTGAGCTGAGTTTGTTCATCGATCTTAGATAGACTGTTTACGTTCTTTAGTCAGTGGCAGCAAGAATTGTTTCGACGGTTCAACCCTGCTGAAGGGTCTGGCCTAGTGCGTAGTGTGCATTTGACCCTTTATATGTGTGTCTGGGTTTATGCTCCAATCTAGTCGTGGGAAGCAACACATCCTGCAAACTGGGTCGAGCGTCCCCTATATATGGCAAGTCCGTATTTCGTCCAAGTTCTGGATCATATGATTAGTCGGTCCTGGGAACCGGGCCCAGCGTCCCGGAGTGCATCGGTCCCAATTCCCTCTGCATAGTGTGAACCGGTTCTCTTAGCCGGTTCATTCATCGTATGCGTCCCCGAAATTGACCGCTCTTCGAGCCCTGTCTCGTATAAGCGGCAAGGGACTTGCATTGCACCTCCAGGCACGAAGTCCAGCAAGACATGCTGGACATGAAGTGCAGACCCTAAGCGAGTGAAAGTGCATTTATGGCAGTGGTCCCCGCTCACATTCAGACCCGGGTTGGTTATAGACCCCACTTCGTGTCCATCATTTTGTCCATCGTGCAATCAGCTGTTTTGTCCCCTCAGCTGTTGCCTGTTGACGGTGTGAGCGAATTTGCTCTCTGCCGTGCAATCTGTTCTCGACTGTCGAAGAGAGAAACGCTGTGGCAGTGGTCCCCACCACAACATCTAGGGCAAGTCGTAGGTCTCTCCCTTCAACTGAATTTGTCTTAGAGCAGTTATGGAGAGCAGGGAATGACCCAGGAATTACAAATTCGTGACCGCGTTTTGGAAGTACGAGTTTGTCCTTTTTTTTTTTCTTTTTTTTTCTAATTTCCTTTTGTCCTGGGATCCACTGCTGGTGATCTTGAGCAGTTGTGGAGAGCAGGGGGGAGTGTTGCCTGATGTCTTGCTTGGTGATGCCTAACCATGCTACGAAGACAACTGCTGTCTTCCGCTGAACATTGGGTGTCAATTGTCTATGTATACTAGCTGTCTTTCTGGTCAAGTACGTTCGGGGGGGGAGGGGGGGGGGGGGGGGCCCTAACGCAAAGACCGAGCATTTTGCCAGTAGCTGCGGCTCCTATCTACTTCTCCCACCCCCCAATCGAGTAGCGGCAGTGGCTATGGTCCCAAAACCTCCTGACTGCCACTTGCATGCCTCATGCCTAACCAACTAAGTGCGCCGCAGCCGTTCATGGGGCTCGACCCCACAACCTCCTGAATGCCACTTGCGTGCCTAACCAACTGATCTAGGCCGATGTGGATACCTCCTAAGCAATTGGAGCAAGTGGTGCTGCATGTCGCGAAACAATAGATATGCTCTTCTTTCTTTGGCGGCAAATTATTTTCTGCCGGTAAATTATTCAATTGAGAATTCAATTGACAATTCAGCACACATGATTGGAGGATAAGAGCTTCACCGCTGTGGCCCTGCAAATTGAACCGCCACCAGCTTTCGCAGGCAAACTCTGAACACCAATTTACCTACCGTCAACTGCATTTTTCGGGCGAACAGTGCTGTCGGACCACAATGGCTGGCGACGCCAGCCAAAAAAGAGAAGAAAATGTCGCGCTGGTGCTTCAGCAAAACGTGGCGCGAAGTTCTTTTCCGCCTTGGCAAAAAGAGGCTCAGAGAGGTAGCGGCCCGGGCATTGTACCACTACTACCTTTTGTAGGCGAACTCGAAGCGCTAATTTACCACGAAGTTGGCATGAACTGCATTCTTCGGGCGAACAGTTCTGTTGGACCACGATGGCCGGCGACGCCAGCCGAAAAAGAGAAGAAAATGTCGCGCTGGTGCTTCAGCAAAACGTCGCGCGAAGTTCTTTTCCGCCTCAGCAGCAAGAGGCTCAGAGAGGTAGCGTCCTGTGCGTTGAACCACCACTACCTTTTGCAGGCAAACTCAAAACGCTAGTTTACCTACCGTGAACTGCATTCTTCGGGCGAACAGTGCTGTTGGACCACAATGGCTGGCGACGCCAGCCAAGAAAAAGAGAAGAAAATGTCGCGCTGGTGCTTCAGCAAAACGTGGCGCAAAGTTCTTGTCCGCCTCGGCCAAAAGAGGCTCAGAGAGGTAGCGGTCATTTAACAGGCTTCACTCGAAGAGGAAAAGCACCCAGCTGTGCTGCGGCAGCTGCCCCGCGTTTTCGACAGTTCTAGGCACTATGCAGTCAAACTTGTCTTGGGAGAGCAATCTTCACAGCACGCCAAACGTCCTCTTGAGGACGCTCCATACGTCATCTGCATACCGTAGCTGTGGAGTCCACTTATAGAATATGCTTCGTCCGCGCATCGAGTTAAAAGACTGGGTGGAAGACCGATGGATATGCCCACCTAAATGTGTCCCCGAGCTTCAAAATTAGCAAAATGTTAAAAGAAAGTCTTAAAATTTTAACAAAATGTTAGAAAAGGTAAACGTGTCCGTGTGGAAACGTCTCTATTCTACTCTTCAGCAGTCCCAGTCTGTGGATCCTTTTCTTTTGCTAGCATGTCACGATATGAATATGCTGCTTGGCCGCGGAGCAGCATTGACTGGTTCTTTGTTGGGATGGACTGACTGTTAGCCCTGTGCACAGGTACAGGGATGTTATTATAGATGGGTGCTGCTGCTTCCTTGTTGTGAAGTTTCTTGTCATCGATTGTTATGTCGCAGAGTTGTGCCGCTCGTTCCATCCCTGAGGTACAGGCCACTGACACGTGTAACACTACGGACCAAGGATCAGGCACCACTGGTGCTATGTTGGTGGCCTATGTGTCCGATTTTGGATTCGACGTGGGTTCTGCGTTGAATTTACGTCGAATCCCCGTTTGAACGCGCGTAATTTGAAGAAAAGTCTCATTATACGATGGAAAACGGGGCACAAATCTGGTCATAGGCTCAAGGATCAGGCACCACTGGTGCTATGTTGGTGGCAACTTGGTGAAAAAGCATAAATCTGGTCATAGGCTCATGCTCGACTGTCATGAAGATAACTCGAGGGGGGCGTGGCGCTAGTAACTACGTTTGCTACAACTTGGGTTTGATTCTTGTTCATTCTCCCAATTACTTTCCATGGTGTGTTCTTTATGGATGATGTCTACTTGCAGCTACTTCTGTCTTGCTTGCTTGTTTGGTTGGTTGGTTGGTTGGTTGGTTGTTAGTTTGGTTGTTTGGTTTGGTTTGGTTTGGTTTGGTTTGGTTATGTGCGAACATTTTTTTCTTTTTCTTTTATATGTGGGTACAAATTCCGTACAATGTGATGTACATGCGTAGACACATTGAGTTTCCTCATATGCAGGCTCCACGCGGCCGAATTATCTGCTGGTTTTATACGGTGACAAAAAAAAGAGGAAAAAAGAAAGCCAGAGGCCCAGTAGGTGAGTTTGCAGGAAGATGAGAAAGAATTTGAAAAAGTATAGAGTGTCTTTTTCAGGCACAGAGAGAGAGAGAGAGAGAGAGAGAGAGAGAGAGAGAGAGAGAGAGAGAGAGAGAGAGAGAGAGAGAGAGAGAGAGAGAGAGAGAGAG